GTCAGGGAGGCTGAGAGGAGGGGAGTGGGGTCATCACTTTAATGTCTGTGAAGAGAGGAGATGGAGAAGGGGTGAGGGTGAGGGGCAGGTGATGGGGTGTGCACCCCCCTTCCCTCTCCCCAGCAGGACCAGGCCTCGGTGGTCGGCCACCTGAGGGGAAAGTCATCGAGTGGAGGGCTGATGCTGGGGGCAGGGTGGGGGCTTGGCCTTTGCGGAGGGAAGGGGCACCAGTGCCGCCACCGCCGCCACAGCCGGGCTGGTAGGAGGGCTAGCTGGGCACAAGGCCTCTCAGGTGGGCGATCCGACAGGCCGGGGCACACGGGGGGCGGTCCCTGGGTGCAGCAGACACTGGCAGACAGGAGGGGCGAGGCTACAGTACCCAGGTGTCCAGCCGCATCCTCTTCACAGCTGCGCCCTCGGCCTCGGGCTCTGGGGCCGGGCGCAGCAGGCCCAGGGCCGGCCCGTAGTCTCCCCGTCCGTCGTCCCGGTCCCCTGACTCGTAGGAGCCCCCCGCAGGGCTGCTCAGGCCATCGCCAGGATCGGGGCGGGCGGCGGCCGGGAACACAGCCGGATTGGGGGGCGCAGGGCTGCGTTCACGGCTTGGGGACACAGGCTCCGACTTGATGCTGATGTGGGGGTGGGTGGTGACGGTGAGAGCAGCACCCACGTGCGGCAGTGGGCTGCCCGGGCTGGAGGCAGACAATGGCGGTGGGGGAGGGACAGAGTGAGAGGCAGGTCGTGGGGTAGGGGGACGGAGAGATGGAGACAGTGAGAGGAGAGAGGGGTTGGCGAGGGGAGAGAAGGAGAATATGAGGCGTTAGTTTTCTGTCTACACCATGTCTGCAGGTCAGGGTGGCCCCCACCGCCCTGGAGGCCTACAAAGGGTGCCCAGACCTCCTTCCCAAAGCCCGAGGACTCACATGAGGTTGCCGAGGGACACCGGGACCAGGTGGGTCTGCTGCTGGGGTGGCTGGGCCTGGGGCTGGGGCTGGGCCTGGGGCTGTGGCTGGGGCTGCTGGGGCTGTGGCCAGGCGGTGACGTTGCCTAGCGACAGCCCCCCAGGCGAGCTGAAAGCTGGTAGGGAGGAGATCTCTGCACTGGTCAACTGGTAATCTGCAGGGAGAGGTGAGAGGGTGAGGCTGGGAGGATGAGGGCGAGGGCGCCGAGACGGCCCCTCCAGAGGCCGTGGCAAAGAAACTGGGATCATCCAAACCATGAGCCGCTGGTTTTCAACCATCAGCTCTCAGATGGGCAGAAAGTAAAAGGTTCCCCAAGGAGCAGCTTAGTGGGAGGGGCACAGTTTCCTGAAAGGCAATTTTGCAGTACCTGTCAAAATATAACAAGCACCTATCTCTGACCTAGTGGCTACAGCATCAGAAAGTTAGGCCACAAAAGAGCCTCAGAAAATGAGGAAACACACACACACACACACACACACACACACACACTCAACATCGGTTACAAAATACCAAACCATCAACAAAGACTATCCCAGTTTTTTATCAGTACCATCTGGTTAATTAGATCATGGTCCATCAATACAATCCTATCAGCAGCTGCAGAGGCCCAGGAGGATGTGTACTTGCGTCTGACTGACTACGGTGTGCACAGTAACAGGTTACAGAGAACACTGCCAAGACTGGGAATTTCAGAACGCGCAGTAAGCTCCTGTAGAGCTTACTCAGCGGATCGGGACCGGTGTGCATCAGGGAGGCCTCCTTTCCCATACTCATTCAATCTGTACGCTGAGCAAATCGTCCCAGAAGCTGAATGAGGAAGACCATGGCACCAGGAATGGAGGAAGACTCCCTCAGACCCTACGATATGCAGACCGCTCAGGCCCGCTTGCGGAAACGCGAGGCTTGGTAGAGAGAGACACAGAGCCGGCGAGCACCCTGACGACTAGACCAGTGAGCCACGTGTCCTGACAGACAGAAGGCGTGTCGAAGCTGCCAAGGAGCTCACCTCACTTGGGCCCACAGCCCAGAACGGGGTGACGCACGGCGTCGGGCAGATCACGGCAACAGGTCTCTTGCAGGGGTGAGAAAGCCAGTGGGCCGCCCTGAGACTCGGGCTCCCAAGAAGCCAGCACGTGACGGCTGGACAGTGACCAGGGACCCCGAGAAGCACCAGTGGTGTAGATGACGGTGCTGGTGATGACACCCACGGCCGACAGACCTGGCCCCTTGCCCACGGGGTCACTAGGAGGTGGGACCTACCTGACAGCAGCTAGCAAGGGCAAATGGGGGAGAAAAATCCAGGAGACTTGCCAAAGGGGGAGGCGAAAATTAAAAAGCAAAAGTCCACTGTATGGGAAGAAGAAACAGGGCGGAAATAGGAATATTTGTGTAAGCAGGAAAAAAAACAACGATGATGCAAGTTCACACAGCAACTGGTTTTGAACTTGGGGATCTAGAACTGGGGTCAGAGGTAGAGAGGGTAGAGAGGTTTTAGACCACCTGCAAGCACCGCTTTTATGAGGATGGAGACACACACAGGGAAAACCAGCCAGGAGCAGGAGGAGGGTGAACAGGGGAGGTGTAGCAGGAGAGATGGCGGCTCTACAAGAAGGGCCGGGCTGCGAACCGACAGGCTGTCAGCTGGAACCCACCATGTTCTGAGGAAGAAAGGCCTGGCGCCCTGTCCTGGTCAAGCAAGAGCCCGGAAAACCCCAGGGAGCATCTTTCAGATGGGGCTGTAACTCCACGGCACGGAACAACGACCACGATGACACAGCAGCCATGCCTGCCATGCCTGCCGCCAAGTCTTCCAGTCCTTTCTGTGACTGATAGGGCCCCAGTCAAGTCAGGTGAGCCAAGGCACCAGAAGCTGATTCTGTGAACTATCACGCCCCCTCTGCCAAGTCCCCACGCCCCCTAAAGACTGTCAGAACATGAGTAGCACAAGGTGTCACCGGCTATGCCCACAATAAACACACCGAGCTCACATGCCCCCAGATCCCCCTGCCCGTGGGCGAGATGTGCCCACGAGAGCAGAGGCACTCAGACAACGCTGTCCATCCTACCACGCTGCGTGCTGGCCGGGGCGGAGAGGCTCGCAAGCAGCCATCTGAGGCGCAACCATCGGTCTGTCCTCGCCCGGAGCCAAGAAGAGCGACGAAAGCCAAAGGAACCCCTGAGTCCCAAGGCTGAGGAGCCCCAGGACCCCAGCCGCCACGGCCCCGAGACCAGAAACATCAGATGAGGTCTGCGTAACACAACCAGACACGTGGTCAGGAGCACAGCAGGCAAGAAGGGTCTCGGCAGGGGGAAGAAAAAAAATGCAGAACAAAATAAAAAACCGGAGCGAGAGACCAGGCCTACTGGTCTCCCAGAGACAGGCGGCACCCTCAACATCTTTCAAGCCCGACCCAGGGGGTCAGCTCTCATCCAAACAATAACCAGGCCTATCAAGTGGGTTACACTGTCAGGCGCATTCTCTTCCGTACAGGTGACATCCGAGCCCCGAAGGGCGGCACTCTCCTACCACCAAGTTGGGAAGGGCCAGGGCAAAAGGATCGTGCTCACAGGGAACTCAGGGAGGAAGTGGGGAGAGGCCCACCCATAACAACGAGGGGATGGCAACAGTGTCAGGAAAGACAATGTGTGAAACGGTCGCACGGGAAACTATTGTGTGCTCTGTACACCCGCCGAACCCCCAAGTTAGAAGGAAATTTAGGAGACAGCTCCCTGGCTGGCTGACTGAAATCCAAACTGGACTCGCTGCCATGGTCAGTATGGACTCCCCACCTCGTTGGTTTCTGGGACAGTCATTGTTCATGGGAGTTGCACGCCCAGTCATTCTCCCGGGCTGCGCTGGGCAGTTTCACACTGCCCGCCCTGTGGATCGCAGCCCAGCCCTATTCTAAATAAAGGCGACCCAGCAACCACAGCGGCACAGGAGAGGGGCTGTCAGGGGAAATAGGCCAGAGGCCAAATGGTCAAGGTCCTGACAGTCTCTTGTTCTGTCCTCCTGGTGGTAAGTTAGCTGCCGAGGTGCCGAGGTCGGCGGTTAGGAGGCACCAGCTGCTCTGCTCCCAGTGAAGACCGGCCGCCTTGGAAGTCAGGCCTACACGGGATCGTGCCAAGTCAGAACTGACTTGCTGGCTGTGGGTTGGGTCCAGGGGATCTTCCAGAAAAAACGATGTCCCCACAGTTAGAAGGTCAACAGAACCAAGCAGGACAGTGCTGCTCTCTTGCGTCCTGTTGGGGGTGGGGGACAGTGTAGACCACGGATCCCCAAACTTATTTGGGCCACGAGCCCCCTTTCAGAAAAAAAAATTTCTGTGCTCAGTGCCTTCCGGACAGCTGACAACGCAGCCCACAACCTAGGGCAAAGTCTGGGGTCTGCTTTTGTGCCCGCTGGGTCATCCCAGACCCTGGGTGCCAGCTTCGCCACTTTGTGCAGCGCACAGGCGACTACACTGGGCAGGGGGAGGGCGAGTGTAATGAGGGGAGCACATGCCCCAATCACCCTGCACGCCATGGCTGGCGACCACACAGGCATCCCGTGCTCTACGCACATACAGGGAGGGCAATAGTCCGTCCCTCTGCCATGTGCCAGTGAGCCTTGCGGGCAAACTTCCTGGCCACCTCCACTTACAGCATGTGACCTTGGGCCAGTTGCTGATCTTCTGCTTATAAACCGGGAGCCATAATCCAACCTACATCAGGCAGCTGTGGGGCACTGAATGAGGGGACACTGGGAGAGCAGTGTCTGGCACCTGGTAAGTATGGAAGAAATTCTCCTAGTATCATCATGCCGTTACGACTTGCTTTTGGTCAAAAGCCGGGGGCCTGGCCGGGTGGAGAATGCAGGTCTCCTATTACCTTTCAGTCTCACCCTGGAGGTGGCCCCTGCTGGCCTCTGGACATGCCGTGAACACCTTTAGCAGGGCTCTGCTACCTTTATGCTTGTAAAGCAAAGCAAGGACAGAAAAGGGCCCAATATCTCCAACCACCGATTTATCCACAGGGAAGGGAAGGCAAGCCTGGGCCAACACAGAGCCCCGCCCAAGGCCCCTTGGTAAGGGGGGGGGGGCACAGCTCCCAGTCCCTCCTGCCCTCTTCCCACCACACTCCAGCCCCAGTCAGTCAGGAGGCTGGGATCCCCGGCCAGGAGGAAGACGGCCAGAGGCCACCTGGCAGTCCACTGGGTCCGCTCCCAGGCTGACCAGAGCCAGCCCTCTCAGCCAGTGTCAACAAGGACAGGCCTGTCCTTTACCCAAGACATCACCATCAACCAGATCACCACCAGCCAGCTCCCAGTGAACAACAATGCAGCCCTGTGTCTGTGGGACCTCTGTTTATACACCTAGGGCCACCTGGAAACACCTGCTGTTCCAACTGAGGGTGGTCTAACTGCACCTGTAGCCAGAGACACTGGAGCCCCGGTTTCTGAGGAGGTGAGAGCCCACACAAAGCTGCCAGCAGGGCTCCAAAGACAGGTCCAGGATCAGAACCCGTCACCCTGGCCAACAGAGCACAGTCTACAGTCTATCCTGGGTTGGCTGACAATAGCCCACCACCCTTCTGCCTCAGTCAGTCTGGCGGCGGGGCCCAGGGAGGTGGTGGCTCATGAGTGTCGTGAAAAGCCCACCACTGAGGTAGTCCCCAATAATAGCTCCCCAAGAGTGGTCTGTGCAGCCCTCGGCCCCCACCCTGGCCCCCTCAGGAAGCTGGCTTTCCTAGGGGGGCCGAGAGTCTCAGGGAGCAGGGCTAGAAGAGCCTCAGCGCCCTCCTGTCCACCCACATCTCCCCCAGAGGAGGGAGCAGCCCTCCCTGAAGCTGCCTGAGGACACAGCAACCCGGGGGCGAGGACACAGGGCCATATGCACCAGAGTCTGGCCCCTCGATAGCAGGCCGTGCCTCAGCCCGTTCACCTGCCCCAGGTCTGTGTCTGCGCACGGGACCAGCTTCTGCCTTCAAGCTCACAGAGCATCTGCGCTGGGGCCTGGAACCCAGCATCCTTCAACTCTGAGGTGAGGGGGCTGCAGGGTCGTTTGGGGGTCTTGTGGCCCCGTCTGCTCTCATCCCAGGAACACTCCTAACCGACACCACTTCCACATGGGGCACCTGAGGAAGGCAGAGGAACCTGCCCGGCTCCAGCCACAGAAAGGCTCTGGGACGTCCTGAAGTCCTTTGGACACAGCAGCCTGAAGTGTCACAGGCTGTTCCCAGGCAAGTGTGAGTGGGTGACACAGACCAGGACAGCCCTGGGGACCTGGGTCAGCCCAGGGACTGAATGTCCTGTCTGAATTATTCTGAGTCCTGAAGTGACTCTTCACCTGTGGAGCCCCGCCTCCCCCTGCCCTTCACCAGCCTGCCTCCTGCCTCATCATCCCACTGCACGGCACCATCAGGCTGGGGACCTCCTCCTTCTCCACCCTGCCCCCAGTCCCCTCAAGACGCTTACATGACCCAGTGGACGCGTGTCCCCAGACTGTGCTTCCGCCCTGGCTCTTCTCGCCCTCACCCCTCCAGGAAGTCTTGCTGAGCAGACCATGCCCCTGCCCACTCCCCGAGGCAGGAGTCTAGAGCCTTCTAGAGTCACCCACCAGCCTCCCTCCTCTCCTCCCCGAGGGCCCAGGCTAGGAGTGGAAGATGCCCCCTTTGAATCTCAGCACACCAGACCAAATCCCTGCCACGAGTCTGTGCTGGCTCACAGGGACCCCAGAGGACAGGGTGGAAAGTGCCTTTCGAGACCATAACTCATGCTTCCGCTGAAACGGCAGTCTCGCCTTCCAGCCGTGACAAAGATATAGATTATATATAGATTATATTCAGCGGCTATCTTGTCTCTGGGACACACACTAAAGACAAAACAAAAAACGCAAGGTTGTTTCATTTGAAATTCAAATGAGTGGGGCGTCTTTTATTTGCATGTGCTAAATCTGGCAACCCTAATCACACAGGGAATCCCCCAAATCAAGGGCCTGCCCTTCCCAGGGGATAGCTGTCGGGGGTGGGGCCCACCCCTGCCCCCGAACCAACGCATGCCACGTTATACTCACCTGTGTTGTACGCAGTGGGCATGGAAGAGAAGGGGAGGCCCTGGCTGAGTAAACTTGGTGTTGCCACGGAAACCACTGGGGTGGTGAGCGAGTGGGTCGACTGGGAGACCCCAAGGCGCTGGGCGTTGTTCTGCGGAAGGAGACAAAGTGCCCTTCAGGAGACGGCAGATGGGAGTCGACCTTCTCCCGAGCCTCCTTTCCAGGGCTGAGCTGGGGCCCCTGGATCCCAACCAAGGCCCAGGAGAGGGCCTCAGCGTGGAGGCCCGCCGAGGCTAACACACAGGGTGCGTTCACAGAGACACGAGACCCACGGAGAGAGACACAGGCGGAGGAGAATCATGCACTCCCACTCCCTTGCCAACGGGAGGCCCCAGACGCCGGCCCTGCGGCCCCTGCACAACCAGGGCGGAGGGTGCCAAGGGCAGGCGCTCTGCTCTGCTGCTTGGTCCCTTCCAAGGAGTCTCCCTGGCAGCACACACCTCAGTAGAAGCGTGTGAGGGAATGCAGGGCCTGGCGTGGCGTGTGCCTGCGTGTATGCACACATGTGTGTGGGGGGGCTGTCAGCTCCATCTGCCACTGAGCCACTTGTTTATTCCAACTCCACGCTGGGGCCGAGACTGCCGCCGTGTTGGCCGCCAAAGCCTGCCTGCCTTTTCCAGCCTCTCTGGCGTCCTGTCAGGGAGGCGTGGAGGGAGGTGCCCCCCACCCCTCTCCTGAAGGGGGGTGGGCTTTTGAGGATGAGAGTACATTTTGAGGGAGAGGAAGAGCGGCTGTGTATGGCTCTGAGCTTGTGCGGGAAGGAGAGGTGTGTGGGCAAGGCGCAGGAGCCTGATGGGGGAAGGCAGGCCCCCCAGGCAGGACAGCTCTCCCCTGGGCAATTATTCTGCTGTCCAGCTACAGCACCCCTCCTCAGGAGGGCCCTGGGAGCCTGAGTGGCCTTCAGAGGGGAGATGGGATCCAGCCCAATCCTGGCAGCCTGGGACAAATCGGGGTGGGGCCCTGAAGCCAGGCCCACCCACTCTCCTTGCACATACATTCAGTACACGCCTGGAAGAGGGGTCTGTGTAACTGCACACATGGCCGCGTGGGCCCACATGCATGCATGGCTCAACACTGCCCCACCAACCCACCCCCGTACCCCCCAGACGCCGGGCACGGCTCCTGGCCAACCCCCAAACAGCACACACTGCACACACAGGAGACAGGCCAGGGGCCAGACTACATGCCGGCTGACCACAGAGCCACGGCACACAGACACCTCACAGCCGCACTTACCAGATCTAAATGGTCCTCAGTCTGGGAGCAAAAACAAATCCAGAGGCTGGTTGAATCCCTGGCCTCTGCCCCGGCCCTTAGTCACCCCACCCCCTCTCTGCAGTGGAGCAGGGGGGCTCTCCTGAAGAAAGCGCCCCTGGGGACAGAGGGAAGCCTCCCCTCCCCCTCCTCCCCAGGACAGCTTCTAGAAGTTGCTGCTTCCCAGTGTGCACCCTTAGGAGCCTCCTCCCCTCTAACCTCTCCCACTATCCTCCCATCCCAGGCCCTCCTCTCCTCTCCCACCTCCCAGGCCCTTCTCACTGCCCTGGGGCTGAACTTCCTGTCCCACTGTCTGGCTGGGCCCTGGGAAAAGGAGCTGAGCAAACCCCACGTGTGGTGTCCACACTGCTGGCTAACCCTCCTCTCCCCATGCCCTGCGGGCGCCCACTCACCAAGTGATGCATTAACCCCTTTCCTCCCTGGGAAGTGATGACGCGGAGGTCGGGCTTGCGGCTGGGGGCTCCGAGCTGGGCGCCGTGGGTGGGTGGGGGCGGAGACTTGGCAGGGATGACTTTATTGAGGCTGTTGCCGTTGGCCACAGGGAGGAGGCCAGGGGAAGCCCGGGCACTGACGTAGCCATTCCCTGGAGAAGGGAGGAGAGGAGGATGAGAGGAAAGGCCCAGGGCGAGCACCCAGCCCTGTTCCTGGTTCCCACGCCTTCATCCCTCCCAACACATGATGTCCCCCTAAATCCTCCACCCCTTACTCTCAAACCACCAGGGTCAGCCCCTACCTCTGGACTCTGTGAGTGGGTCTGGGGTGGGGGTTGCTCCGAGATCAGTAGGAAGAACAGGAGTACACTCAGTGCCTCCCAGTGGGCCTTCTGCAGCCAACCCTCCCCACCTTTTCTCTCCTCTGGTCTCCAGACGGGAAGCTCAACACCTCAGGTCCCAGTCTACCCACCCTCATCCAGTCTGTCGAGGTCCCCAGGTGAAGGTCCCAGCCACTCAGACCACTCCCTGCCCTCAAGCCGGGAGGCTGTGATTTGGATCAGCACCCGACAAGTAGCACACAGCTCTGGGGACAAGAACCACCCACTGGTGGCCGTGGGGAACTGACAGCAGAGCCACCACCGTCATTCAGACTGTGGTCACAACCCGATAGCCATGGTTTACATTTGCGCCATGCTCCACCATCCACAGAGGGCTCCCCCCACGCCCCCCGGTCTCACGGACTCCTCAACCACGCGAGGAGGGAGAGAGAGGCCCGTGTGACCAGCTGTTCACTGCGGAGGAAACCTGGGGCCGGGTGGGTAGAGGTATGGTGACTTGTCCAGGACCACACAGCTGGCTGGAAGCCAAGCCAGGGCTCTGACCCCACGTTCTGGCCTCAATATCGCACCAGGTCCTACGGGTATTTCTCTGGCCCTCTCCTTGGAGAGGGAGGGGTAGTCACTGATTCCCCCTCCCTCCGCCCTTAATTTTGGGACCCCAGTACACAGTTATTGCCAGGGAGATGTTACAGGTTGCCCTAGGCTGAGCTGGGGGATTCGGAAGGCCGGACGTGTAGGGGTGACTGCCTTTAGAAATGCCACCTTGATTTGTCCCCTAAGAGCACGTTGTGCCCCGGAAGTGTGCAGCCGCCTCCATCCCAATTCCCGGATCACTCTGGGAATGGCAGGAATGTCAGGGTGACGTCAATGGTGACATTCGAAGTCCCAGTCCGACCGCTGGACAAGGCACAGGCTGGAGGGTCTGTCAGCTGCTGGGGCTGGGAGGGCAATGTCCCCCCTTGGCTCAGGGGAGTAAGACCACAGGGCACAGCTAATGTCCAGACAGTTCTGTGAATGGGAGCCCACACATGCCTTCTGCCGGATGGGCCAACATCAGACAGCTCATCCCTGGATCTCAATCACACAGGCCCCACTCAGCTGGAGAACCCACACCCTCCACTCCAACTAGCATGGGTAGTCCACGCCGAGGATTTGCCCGAGCTCCCCGAGCCTCCCTCCCCTTAGAGCATCCACACCACCACTGCTGCAGGTGACAGATCCAGGGCCTAACAATCCTGGTTCTACACCCAACTCAAGCCTCAGGGGGCTCCCCCTCCGCTCCCATCTAGGACCTTCCTTCGGGATGCCTGGCGTGAAGCCCCTCCCCAGGCAGCAGCGCTACACTCACCAACAGGACTTGGGCAGGCTCCGTTAGCACTGCTGAGGTCTCCGCCCAGCATGGCCCCTACAGGCAAAACACAGCCACATGAGGGACAAAGGACACCAGGAGAAGGAGTGACAGTGCTTTCCCACAGGAGCCACACAGTGGGACATAATTCCCGAGACTAGAACCCCAAAGTCCCCCCATGGATCGTCTCCACCTCACCGGGCGGGCACCCATCAGGCCACTCACCTGCACTGGCCGGCCGCTGGGGCAGGCCGGGAGACACGCTATTCCTCTGCAGCGCTGGCTGCTGTGGGGAGAGGAGCCGGGGGTCCGTGAGGGATGACGTCACCAAGGAAGGAGTGACCAGGGAGCCGCTTGGGTTGCTGAACTGCAGGGAGCTCTGATTGGACACGGGCACCGTGACAGGCATGGCAAAGTTGGGGGCCGGGACGGACGACTGGGTGGAGAGATGGAAGAGGAGGTCAGGGCAGGGCAGCCCCTCCCCGCAGCCCCCTTTGCCTGGGAGGTGGGCTGGTTGGGTCTCCGGGCTTGTGTCTTAGGGCCAACAGTCCCATCTCTACGGCCCGGGTCCTCCCAAGAGTCCTGGCTGCCACTCCCCACTCCCAGGAAGAATGCCGGCGGGAATGCTGTTGGCCAGGGGAGGAGAACAGGGCTCTGCTCGCTACAGACAAGTCCAGGGACACCTGGAACCTCCATGGGGAGGCGGGTTAGTCCTCAGCCAGGCAGGACACACAGGAACACGTTAGAGGCCCTGACGACAGGCCCAAACTCGCACACACAGCAGTTCACACCTGCGCCATGGGTGGGGGCACAGCACCGGCGGGCTCTCGCCTCGCCTCGCCGGGTGTCCCAGGCTGGGTGCAAGAGCCCAAACCTGAGGGGCCCAGAATCAGCCCGGACAAGGGGCAGGCACACCCCTGCTTCCCTGTCACCTACAGGCCTCATGACCTCGACACGCTGCTGGCTGGCGGGGGGCAAGCCCGGGCCTCTCCTGGCTTACACGCCCCGAGAGGAATCCCCGGGAGGGTCACAGCTTGAGGAAGACCCAGGGCAGGGCCTCCTCCGGGGTCACCAGGCCGGGCGGCAAAGCCACACCATGCAGCACGGGGCTCAGCTCCACGCGACTACTCACGGCCAGTCTATAACTCTGCATCATCTTATCAAACTCCTCGTCTATCTTTTTATACTTCTCCTCCGTCTGGGGGGTCAGGGCGAACACCTCGTCCGCCTCGGGGCTCTCACACTCCCTGTGCTTCTTGTGCAGCGCCTGGGGAGGGCGGGCCGACAGGGCACGCGTGAGCGGGCTCACCCCATAGCGCCGGAAGAGCCCGTCCAGCTCCTCGCTGGCGCGCCGGTACTTGTCCTCCAGCAGGGGGCTCTGCTCCAGCGAGTCCTCCCCGTCGGGCTCCGGGCTGTCGCAGCCGTTGAAGCCCTTCTTCCTCAGGGTCTGAAACCACGCTGCTGTCAGGGGGGTGGGAGCCCCCACAGCCATCTCCCCGGGGTCCTTCCTTTCCCTAGGGCCCTCCCCCCCCTTTCCACCAGTGTCACCCTCCTCTGGGGGGTGGGAGGGGTAGGGAGGCAGCAGGAAGATGGGGTTGGTGGGGCAACATCAGGATACAGGTCACGTGGGCGGGGGCCTCACCCAGCAGATACGGCTTCTGAAGCTAGAGGTGGGGAAGGGGCTCCCCGGGGGATGGACTGGGGGGGGGGGGTGACCACTCTGGGGAGCTCTGGTCAGAGACGCCGAGGACTCCCCCAGGAAGGTAGTTGGGGCTAGCTCTGCCCAGTGGAGTCCCTGGAAACAGGGGGTCAGTCCCAGGGGACACATAGTGGCTGGTGGGTGGGCGAGAGGTGGCCACAATGAGAGAATGAGAGAGAGAAAGAGAGAGAGAGGAGACAAAGTGCAAAGTGGAGGGGGAAGGGGCGTTCCATGGCCAGTGGGCTGCCCTTGGCTCCAGAGTGGCCCTGGCCAACGTTCAAAATGCCTACAGACACCTGTTCTGTCATGACAGCAAACACCAGTTTGCCGTTCGGGTCTGCAGTAGCTCTGCTTTCCCTGTGATAAGAAGAGGGGACTTCCCCTCTTCCTTTTTGGAGCGAAGTTCTCCCTGCGGGAAGCCGGGTGCCATGCCTTGTCGGGAGCAGCAAACACCGGGCTGGCTCTCGGGCCACACGGCACCCGTCAGACCAGGCCCCGGCCCTGTTGGTGTCGGTGGACACCCGACCAGCCCCCAAGCCCTGAAGACCAGCGCTGGATTCCAGCGCCTCCAACAGCTCCGGTGCTAGCTCGCTTTGCAATGGAAAACAGCCACAGACACAGGCGTGGGAGGAGGAGGGAAACCAAGAGGGAGACAAAGAAAAGGCGTCGGAGCAGACTAAAAGGTGGGGAGAGCGTGAGCGAGCAGGAGCAGAAAGACGTGCGGAGACGGAGAGAGGCGGCGGGGTGGCCCTGGCCCGCGGGCGCACCTCGATGATGTCGGCGTTGGTGCGGCTCTCGTGCGGCTCGTTGTACTCGGTGTACTTGAGCAACACCTTGTCCATGTCGGTGCTGGCGTACTGGAACAGCTTGTTGGAGTGGTTGAAGATGATGAGGGCGATCTCGCAGTCGCACAGCACGCTCAGCTCGTACGCCTTCTTCATCAGCCCAAACTTCCGCTTGGTGAACGTCACCTGCAGGCGGGTGGGTGGGGGGTCTGGCTCAGCTGAGGCCTGCCCAAGAGTCCCAGCCCATAGGCAGCAGAGCACAGTCCCTGGCGCCCTCAGAAGCCCCGGCCCCACACCCCCGGTCAGCACGTGACCCAGACACAGACCAGAGCCACCCCACTGAACGGAGGGGATTTGGGGCTGGGAGCTGGGAAGAGGTCCGGAGAGGAGAAGGAGAGGGTGTCTTAGGAAGAAGAGGGGAAGGCTTCATCTTGGAAAGTGGAGGTGCCTTGATGTGGCCTAGGGCCCACATCAAGCGGGGCACAGGCCTGTTTGGGGGTCCTAAGTTTTCTTCCTCCCTCTGAGACACCTGAAAGAACCGAGGCAGAGCCTGGCGTCCTGCCCTCACCCCCTCTGGGAGGCCCGGGCCCTCACCTGCCGGTTCCGCTCGTCGGTGATTCGCTGGATCTGAATCTTTTTCCTCCCCATCTTCTCTGCTGGTCTTCAGTGCTGGGCAGGGGAGGGGCTTGCTGGGTGGTGATCTCGGCACACCTTATACTGTGCTCATGAACCGTCTGGGACCAGTGCTCAGTTCATGGTCTGCAGGGCACTACCTTACAGCCTCCTGGGAGAGGGGTGGGCCAAGAGAAGACTGTCAACTACCACCCCACCCCCAGCCCTGCCCTTGTGGACTCTGGCCAGCCTCACCCCCCACCCCCACCTCGTGAGGGCCTGGCAGCATCTGAACCCACCCTCACAAGACGGCACGGGCACTTGACGGTGGTGCCGGCCCAGCTGCCGCGACCAAGCTGAGGCAGACACTCAGCACTCTGGGCTCAGGCCTCTGGCTCATGGTCTTTCCACATTGTCACCACTGCCTCTTAGGTTCCCCACCAGCATGCGTGGAGCTCCCAGAGGAATCCCCCGCCCCCCACACACACCTTCTCCCAGACTTGGACTGGTGTGGAGGCACACAGGTTCACCAGCTGCCCCTTGGGCCCAGGCTGCAGAGCACCTGCAGGATCCCTGAGAAGCTACCCGGTGGCCCTGGCTCAACCCATCAGACCACATCCAGGCAGGTCTAGAGCAGTGGTCTTCACAGCCGCTCAGGAAGCTTTGAGCCCAGAGGTCCAGAGCGAGACCCAAGGCCATGGAGCCCCCAGCCCACTGAACCCACAGCTCCCCCATGCCAAGCTGTTTAACTCAGGAGCCTCAGCCTCAACGTTGGGTTTGAAGAATGGGTTCCACTGCTTTAAATACAGAACCAACCAACCCACCTACCCCTTAGATCCGGGACCAGCATGCTTTCTGCTACCAAGGACTACGTAATAAGTATTTCAGGCCATACAGTCCCAGTGGTAATTAGTTAACCCTGCCACTGTGACATGAACACAGCTGTAGACAATATGTAAACGCCCGAGTGTGGCTGTATTCCAATAAAACTGTATTTACAGAAAGAGGCAGGAGGAGCCAGATTTGGCCCCCGGGCCCCAGCGAGCTGCCTCCTGCTCTGGAGGACCAGGTCCCGTGTGGAGAACCGCACTCGGGCTAAGGGCAGCACTGCCCAACCTCGTTCACCTTGAAGCACAGAGTGTCAAGAGCACTGGGCGATGGGCACGCTGCCTCGGCCATGAGTGGCTGGAGAGGCAGGCACTGAGGGGAGGGACCCCGTCCTAGCCCACGGGCCGCAAAGAGGGATGTGCACGCACCCTCAGGGAGGCTCTGAGCCAGGACACAGGGTGGGCAACATCCACCAGACGACCTCAGGGCCCCTCCAGCCTTGAAGTGTTAGGTGTCCTCTCACCAGGGATGGGGCTTTCTGGAAGATGAGCCTCCCTGCCCCCCTGCCCCCCTGCCCCCTCCACCCCGCGTCCCAGAGCTCTCCCTCCAGAGCGTGCTAGCTGCAGACCAGGAACCCCACCCACCACCAGCCTGATGACACAACACCTGTCCACAGGAGCCCTCCGGTCCCCCTTCCTGGAACATCTCCAGTGCCCCCGGAGAAACGGCCCCCAACGTCCCCACAGGAGATGCTAAGGTTCAGCCTGACACCCTGACCACGGGAACAGAAAGGCAGGGGATCTGTGGGCTTGGAGGGGCCAGGAGCACCCCTACACACACACACACACACACACACTCACAACTCCTTCCCTTCAGAACTGTTGTCCTCAGGCTGCCCAGTTAGAAAGCCACCCTCGGCTCCACAAGGAGCCGGCAGACAGCACTGCTGCCACACCCTGGAAGCAGCCTTCCTTCCACTTTCAGCCTTCACCCCTCTTCATTTTCTCCTCGGGAGAGGCACCCCGGCACCCTCTTCCTCCTGTCCTTGTTCTCAAAGGGCTCTGTGGGTCCTGAGCCTCCTACTCCCTGCCCTCACACATGCCCAGCCAGCCCCTAGTTACCCAGACCAGCTCGTCACCCCATTTCTGGCCACGGACTCCACACCCCGATGGCGGAGGCTCTGTCCGAGGAGCCCTGCTCTCCAGGGCAGTCCAAACGCAGTGCTGTCTACACCTACAGGGCTGTGAGCTGGTGAGGAAGGGGCGGCGGAGCCACAGAGGCAGCCAGGGAGATGACTGAGTGTTGCCTTTTCAAACAGGAGTCTCTGGCCTGGCCTTGAAAACCCCAATCCACACTACCATACTCTACCATACTCCTCTGGCTAGCAGCCCCTCTCCACCCCCACCCCCGTTCTACTATCTCCCCAGCTCTTTGTTCAGAAGCAAGTTCCGCTGAGATCTAACCTCCATCAGTTGAAGGCCCGTCAGGCCTCTTCCTCCAGGCCGGGGTGGAGGGAGCCCTCTCTGCTCTCCCCACCCTCAGGAGAGCTGCTCTGCATGTCTTCAGGTGCCCCAGTGATTTACTCTTGGGGTACCCAGGCTTCTCCTTCTAGCAGTTATCACAAGTACGCATCCCTACAGTCCAGTGCTTCTGTTCAAGGTCCAGCGTCCCGTGAGAAGGAAGCTTCATGAGGCCAGGAACCACATGTCTTGTCACCACTATAGCTCCTGTAAGGAGGAGCTCAGGAAACATCTGCTCTATTGTTGTGAACCCGTGAAAGTCCTTCTGACAGTCTAACTTCCATCAATCCTGCTTCAGTGCCAGCTCCTCTTTCTCTACCCCCCCTGTGGAGGTAAAACCTTTCCTCTTCCAGCTGCCCATGAAGCTTGTTTGTCTGGGCACCATCTACCCTACTAGGGGTGGTTACCACCTCTGCCATCCCCAGCCCTCAGCCCTCAATCTTCCCCCTCCCAGGTTGGCTGGTGCGGAGGGTGAGGCTCTAAAGTCTTCTAAGGAGCAGCGCTGAGCACATGGAGATGGAGAGGATGGGGTTGCTCAGGCAACTGTCTCCTGGCAACCAGCTCCCTGGCTGATCTCCTACACCGCCCCCCCCCCCCACCCCCGCCTCATGCTGGGGGAGCTTGGATACAAGAGGGATCAGGGCTGGGAAGAAGGGAAGCCAAAGAGACCCACTGAGCGTCCTCCGAAAGGGGAGAGTGAGGGTGAACGAGGGCAGGCCCCACGGAGCTCCACTCCCTGGCCCCTGGCGAGGTGGCCCAGAGCCCTTCCAGGAATCTCATCTTCCCAGCACCCCTCCCTCACTGCTGTCCCCACCTCTGTGTGGGGACTGCCACAGGAGGGGCTGCCCCGCCTCAGGCGGTCCTCCTGCAAAGCAGTCTCGGCCCGCCGTCCACTCCACAACCACGGCGTGCACAGGGCCAGAAACGGGAGCTCAACCCTGGTTTTGAAAGGAAGGAGGCGGGGGCCTGGGCTGGCACAAAGGACCCCAAACTGACCCCTTCCAAGGTACGGAGGTCTGTCCTGTCCAAGCTTCCCTCCTACCCAATTAGGGAGATTTTAATGAACACCTGGACCTCCATAATTAGACCTCTTCCTAATTATCTAACCAACTGCCAGGAGCCAGAGGCCTTGGCATCTGTCCCCCAGATGTGAGCCTTCCCGGTCCTCCCTGCCCGGCTGCCCCATGCCGCTTTTCCTCCGCAGCATGCTCCTCCTCCCAGAAGCCCTCCCAGATGGCCAGTCCTCGCTTGCTTCTCTGCTAGCCCTTTCCCCTTCACTCTGCCTGGGGTCTGGAACCAAGGCTGGGAAGAGCGTCCGGCTGCCACGGAGAGGGGAGGGATGGGCCAGGATGATGGACTAGGGCCCACCTAGCAGTGACTCCCTGGGCCGGCAGCACCTCCATCGATAAACACTGTCCCTCACGGGGAACAGGTGATCCCTTGGGTGATTTCCCCACTACAGGTCCATGGTTGGGCAGAGTGGACCTCCTGGGGGCTGGGCAGGGAAGGGCAGGGAAAGGTGGGGTCTCCCCTGCTGGAGAAAGGAGCAGTGAGTGGGGGAGGGCAGCAGGGCAGGACCCCAAGGAGGCAGGCACAGACCCATGCTCTGTGAAGACGAAGGGGCGGGCTGCAGAGATGCCCCCCCAATAGAGGGCCTGGATTGTAGAGCCCGAGGCTCACACAGGGCAAAGGGCAAGGAGGGCAGGCAAGAGGAGCCAGCGCCTGGGAGGACCAGAAGAGCCCTGAGTCGGCGCCACCCCGGGGTGACCCCATGTGTGTCGGAGTAGAACTTGCTTCAGAGAATTTTCGGTGGCTGGTGTGTCAGAAGCCAATCGCCAGGCCTTTGTTCCAAGCCCTCCACCCCAGGCAGGGTCGCCTAGGACCGTTCATTCGCCTTGCGGGTCTGCAGCTTAGTGGCCTAACCGGATGTCCCAGCCCTGGGCTCCAGAAGGACCTGAAGCCAGCCATTTTCCCCAGCTTCATGGAGAACCCAGGAGGAGCCTTGGAGGGTTGTAGTTACATGCAAATTAGATGCAGATAACATGCAAATACACTCCGAAGGGGGTCTTGGTTTGGAGGATGGCATCGTGGAAGAAACAGGACTTGGCCTCCCCCAAAGCAACATCTCTAGGTACCTGAGTGATATTCAAACCACTCTCGGGTTTCAGAATGACACTGCCTCAGTTCCGGGGTGAGGTGGCCTGGGGCCAGCTGGGGACAGTCCGGGCAACCTCCCTGGGGCGGTAGCTGCACCGGCCTCAGGGGGTTGAGCAGGTATGGGGAGCTGTGGAAGTTCTTTCTGATGGCCATCCTCCACCCAGCCCATCTCTCCTGCTTGGGTCTAGGGATGCCCCACCCCCACCCTAGCGCCTACCTAGGGACCCCATCCCAAGTGGCCCTGGGTTCAGAGAACCACAGGGCATCCATCTACAGAGATGCTGCACCACAGCGGCCAAGTGTGTGACTGAGCACGGAGCAAGGGGCCTCCACCCTGCCCTTCCACACAGGCAGCCAGGGTGCGCTCCTGACGCCAGCCCTTCCTGCGCCCGCCCTCCCAGGCCGCTTGGGACGGTAGGCTAGAGGGGCAGGCAGGAGGTGCTGGAGACGCTGACATCCCTCCTCCTCCCGCCCCTTCCCTGTGGCTGGGCTGCAGGGCATGAAATACGCAGCAGGCACTGGGGGAGGGGGTGACAATCCAATCCACCTGTCACCCCCACAGTCAGGCGGCCTCCAGCAGCCTGCTCACTAGCAGAGTGAGGAGGCGTGGGTGAGGCAGACACACAGAGGGGGATGGCAGGGGAGGACAGACATACCGCATCAGGGTAGCAGAGGGAAGAGCAGAGACCTGAGTCCTAGGAGAAATCCGAGGGAGGGCAGGGACAGGGGCAGGGCAGGGCAGGCCGGCCGGAGAGGGCCAGAGGCAGGGACCAGCCAGAGACAAAGACCAAGAACAGCAGGGAGACCAGAGCAGGTTCGGCAGCTGCTTGTGGGCCTCACTGGGGCCCAGGCCTCGTGGTTGGTGCTGGGGGCACAACGTGAAAGGACACCACCCCTGCCCTCTTAGAACTTGCAGTGCAGCCAAGTGACAGGCGAAGGAGGGGCAGGTCCCACCCCAAGTAGGGAGTGTCCCAGGGGCTTGTTGGGACCTGGCGCAGGACCAGATTAGGCCCGGGAAGGGGCGTTCTGGCTCAAGGTTCTGGGCCCTCTCGGGCCTCCGAACCCAGCCTGCCCAACTCTGCTGAGGTCCAGGTTCCTAGCCAGGGTCCCTCTCAACATCCTGAGCACTGCCTCCCTGCCCACCCCACACCCAAGATTCCAGCCTTCCCTGCCATTCTCCCTGGAGCCTCAGCCTGGGGCGCTGGCCCCTAAAGGGCCGACCAAGTGACTGGCCTGGGCTGGAGAATCTGAGGATGTCTGTCAATGGCTCACAGGCCCTGGAGGGACACAGGAAGCCGCTCCTTCCCACACTTCATACTACCCTGGGGCATGACCCCTCCAGCGTCCAGTAGGCCAGGCAGTTAGTTCCTGGGGCTCACACTGTCCCTGCCCACCCCTTGTCTCCGGGCCCCTCTCTAGCCTCCCTCTCCATTCACTCCAGGGTTCCTCGCTCCTCCAAGGGTCTGGGCCCCAGCCCCAAGCCTCCTCCCCTCAAGACCGGGTCTAGTGGACTCCCTCCTCAAACCCTGGCTTCCCATCAGCTCCCCCTTCCTCAGGGACTCCCCTCCCCCAGCTCCAGCAGCCTCAGGGCTGGGCAGGGGCTATTTTTAGTCTGGGCACTGAGCTAATTTTAACTCACCAACAGGGGACCTGGGGGCGGCTGGCGGGCCTGGGGGTGGGGTGGTGGGTTGGAGAAATAGTTCAGGAAGGCTGGGACTGGGGCTGAGGTGGTCTCAAGTCCCAGG